TCGGCCACCTATGTGGACGTCAAGGTCTTCAATGGAAACGAGGTCATTTTCCACTGGGTGTTCCGAGGCTATCGCTCGGACGCCGATCTGTCGGTCCAACAACAGTTCTGCGACGAGGTTCTGATCAGGTCGGCCAATGAAGGATGGCTCAGACCGTCCATCGTCATCTCCGTGTTCGTGGGCTGGAAGGTCTCGGTCACCTCGTTCGAGATCGGGGCCCGAGTTTACTCCATCGGCCCCCAGGGAGCGGTGATGGCCAGTGATCACGCCGTGAGCACTTGCGAACTACGAGTGACCGATCGCTCATCGCAAGAGGGCTATGGCAATGATTCAGATCGTGTGGAGTTCCGGTTCAGGGATGCCAACAACCGGATCAACCTGAAGTGCGGGCGAACGTCGGTGCCGGGCACGTGGCTTACGGTCAGTCATATTTCCGGCCCTGCTTTGATCAATACTATCCAGGCCTGCAGGAACCAACGCGCTCGCGTTGAGGGGCCGGATCATGTTCAGCAGTTCGCCCAGCTCTCTGCGGTGATCGTCCCGTGGTACAACGACGCCATGGCGAACACGGAAGGCTTGGTCGGCACATCTACTGCTCCCGGTGGAGAGGGGGAACTTCCACCTTCGTGCTCGCTCGACGCTCCAGGTTCACCCTCTGATTCGTTCGGCAGGAAGCACTTGCTCACCGTTCGCATGACGAGGGGAACGAGCTTGCTGCTCAGCGTGGTCCGCCTGCTCTCATGGAAGAGGCGGCCAAGCAAGCCGTTCGGCAGTTGGGTTCTTCGACTACCGCGGCTCTGACGAACATGCCGACGTCTGCTCAGCAGGCGTACGACCAGAGGGTGTCGGTGATCAACCCGGTGCTCGAGGGCGAGGTGCCGCCGGACGATCACGTCGAGGAGTACATCGAGGAGGCTAGGGATCGCCTAAGAGCGGACATGCGCTTCTCGCGCACGTCGGCCGCGATCACGCCGCAGGTCTTCACGGACGTCCTCCGCGATCGTGAGGAGGCGGAGTACCAGAGATATTCCACCGTTCGGGTGGAGGAGACGGGGCCGGAGCTCCCAACATCCAGCCCTGCTCCGTCTACGGCTCCGCATTCGTTCGCTCCTGCCTATCCTCCAGCTCGTACTGCTACTGGACCGTACAAGATGGCCAGCTCGGGACAGGAAGATGAGGAGTGATAGCGATCGCATTTTCTTTTCCGGATTGTTTTGCACCGCGCTCGCGAGATGAGCAAGGTGCCGACCCGGCAGTACC